TCCGCCGTCCGCTTCGTCGTGGGAGGGCAGATACTCTTCGGCAGCCCCGGGCTCCTGCTCTCCTGATCTCGGAGCTCACCGGGAGAAGCGGAGCCAACGTTACGGGCGCGAAGGCTGCGCGGTGACCGGTGCCGCATTGCCCTAAAGCCGCGACCGGCTTTTCCATCGCAGATGAAGATGACGTGCACAAGTGCGGCCGCTGCCAGGCCGAGTTCACCTCCTTGGAAGAATTCGTGCAGCACAAGTTACAAAAGGTCTGCCAGCGAGCTCCAGAGGCTCTCGCCGCCGTCTCGGCCGGGCTCCTCAAGCATGAAGCACAAAAGGTGACAGCAGGCTTCTCCTCAAGCCGTGGCTGAAAATAATTAGGATGCAACGGTCTGTTGGGTTGGAGGGGAGAGGCCAGAATGCAATGTTCCCCCAGGTAATAAAGCTTTTCTGCTAAAATGTTATCTGTCACAGCAGGTCGTTCCTTCTGTCGAGGAGTCCATAACTGTTGCTCATATAGTTGTTGAAGCATCTTCAATAGCAGAGGAAATCAGCAACGCATCTGCTATAGTAGGTGAGCTCCAAGATGCTTGCCTTTATACCCTGCTGGGTCAGGAACTCGCTGGCTCCCCAGGGTCCTCTCCTGCCAGATTTGTGCTGTGGCTGGGAGCACAGCACCTCAGTGTCACCTCAGAGAGGTGTGAGAGGCAGCCCTGGGCCAGCTGTGCAAATCTCTCTGTGTTAATACAAACGAGATACAAAACTCCATTCCAGACGTGTCCGTTTTAATGTTTATGCTGCAATAGTGAGAATGTTGCAAAGACCCACGTTCCAGGTTTCAAATTCCCATTTTTCCTTTCTACTGCATGAAATGCTGAAATAGCTGTTGGCTCTTGTTGTGTGGAGCTCTCTTCTGTACAGAACATCACTCTCTTTTGTACAGAACATCACCCTCTTCCTCTCCTCTTCCCAGGCAGCGGGCACATCAAAGAAGTCATCGTTGCAGGAGAGCACGTTTTTGAAAACCCAAATGGCCACGTCGATGGGGAAGTGGCTGAAGAGCCAGGGAACCCTGACGATCAGGAGCAGGATATGTCCACAGAGCTGATAAAGGTTAAGCTGCTGGTTAACAAAGAGGGGCGATACGTCTGCGAGTTGTGCCAGAAGACGTTTAAAACGGTGAGTGTCCCTCCTGCTGCCTGTGGGGTAGCAGGTTGTTTTGGCTGGCTGTTAAGGGAGATGTCTCTAGGCTCAGTAACAACATGCTTTGGAAAAACTTTGGATAGTTCTGCTTTCAGAAGGAGCATTGTCCTTCACAGTTGAAATGTAAAAGCCCAAACCGCTGGGAACATCTTGTGAAATGAAATTGTTTCCCCAGGCCAGCATCCTCAAAGCTCACATGATCACCCACAGCAGCAGAAAGGACTACGAGTGTAAACTCTGTGGAACCTCCTTCAGGACAAAAGGCTCTCTGATCCGGCACCATCGCTGTCACACTGGTGAGCCAGTTCTCCAGCCCTGGAGCTCCCTGTTGCCCGGGGTGCTGTGAGGCAGTGTGGGGATGGGGGCAAGCCCATCCTGCTCTCTGCAGGGAGCTGGCAGTGCTCCTCCAGCAGCCTGCCCTGCACAGCTCATACTGCCCGTGGTTAGCTTAATCCTGCTGTGGCAACTTGTCACTTGCAGATGAAAGACCCTACAAATGCAAGAAGTGTGGGAAGAGCTTCCGGGAGTCAGGAGCGCTGACCCGGCACCTCAAATCCCTGACGCCTTGCACCGAAAAAATCCGCTTCAACGTGAACAAAGAAATCGTGGTCAGCAAGGATGACTTGCCAACAGGTCAGGGGTGCTGTCAGCCTGCTGGTAAAACTGAGCGTGCTCCTGGCACTTGAACAGAAATGGCTGAGGGGTGGTAGTGCTCCCGTTACTCATTGTGCTGCTTCCCTCACAGGCTCCTGTAGTGCCAGTGCAGACACCGTTTCGATAGCCAGCGAGTCCATCGAGACCTCGCCCGTCATTCATCTCATGACAGATGCTAAAGGCAACGTTCTCCATGAAGTCCATGTCCAAATGCAGGAACTCCCTGTTGTGGATGCAAAATCCCTGGACCAAGACGTGAGTGTCGCTTCTCTTAAACACCCTTCAAAGGGTTGATGCAATAAAGGATTTTGAAGTGTTTCACCTGGTGGACAAAAGTTTTCTTAGGCGCCAAGAATAAATCTGTGTGTGGGAAGCAGCTGCTTCATTAGCTTCTTTTTCATCTGAGAGGATAGGAGGCAGCCTCTGCTATCACCTTGTCTGGCCACCTGCTGTGGATGAGGCTCAGCAGCGTGTGTACAGCGTACAGGGGGTGGGGAGGGCTCACCACCACACAATGGATGACTCAGAAGGTGCTTTTGGTGACAGTCCCCTGCCATGAGACTCTGTGGTAGGATTAAAGGCTCATCCCTCAGAGTACAGAATCACCTCATCTTCCTCTCTGGTCCAAGATCATCCCCTTGGTGATCTTTCAACCCTGTATCAGAAGACTGGACACCCAAGGACGAACAGCTGCTGTAGCAATGTTGCTGTAGAAGAAAGGGCCGACTGTGTTATTTGTTGTAACAGTTTCTGGGCTGTTTTTTCTTTCAGCAGTCACATCCTGAGGAGCTGCCGTGCGAGGGGGAAGTGAACAGTGAGAATCTGCTGAGGCAGGCCATGAGGAATTCGGGTATCGTGATAGAGAGGGTGGCAGTGGAGGAGATGCAGAAGCCCCCTGAGCCTGCTGTAGCTGCTGCAGAAGAACTGGAAAATGAAGCAGTGGGAGCAGAAGAGGAGCCATGTGTGGAACAGTGTGTTAAAGTAGAACAAGCAGAGTCTGTATGTTTGTATTCCATAAATAGATTAATTTTTTAACCCTTCTTGCCTGCGCTGGGTTGTGGGCTGCCTACACGTTACCCTCAGTGCATCTCCCCCAGCTCCTGGATATTTGTGTCAATTTTTATCATTACATTCTTCACGTGTGGTTTAAGCACCCACGTGTGCTCACTGTCTCCTCTCAGCTGGCAGTGGCTTAGTGATGCTGCACACCCTGGTGCAAAACATACTCATGTACCATTTTCCTTCCACAGACAAATGCAGAGAGAACCAACGGGTACAAAACTTACACCTGCCCTCACTGTAATGAAGGTTTTGGTGATGCTGCTTCCCTGGAGACACACATCAAAGGTCATTTAGGTAAAGCTCTGCTGCTTATGCTGTTCAAAATGTGCCGTATCTCAGCGTGACCTTCAGCATGGTGCAGCTTGCTCTGTGTCAGAGCCATTGCCTTTACGTGGCCGTGAGCTGTGTGAAGTCAATTGATGCTTAACAAACTAATAGAAAAAGGTTGACTTTGGCTGAGGTCTAGAATGGAGGGTAAAAGAAACAGTAAAAAAAAGTTCCCATGTCTCAGGGCCTGCAGTGCATCCTTGAAAGCAGAGTTTGGTGAAGAGGCCAATAGAAAGGTTAGCGAGGCAGGATGGGTTGATAGGCTGGAGCTGCTGCTCGGAAGGCACCAAAGGCTGTGAGAGAAACATTTGAGCAGAATTCACTTAGGGCTGAGACAAAGCCTGTCCACACAGCTGAAAATACAACTTCCCTCCTCGGGACTAAGTTTTGTGTGGCCATTTTCCTACAGCTGTAGCAGATGCTCCCGCTGGTGGTCCCGTACCACCCACGCGCTCTCTTCTCTCTAGATTACAAGCCTTTCAAGTGTGAGGAGTGTGGCAAAGAGTTCACCAAGGGCTACCTGCTGAAGAGGCACCAGGAGGTGCACGTGAACGAGCGGCGGTTCCGCTGCGGGGAGTGCGGGAAGCTGTACAAGACCATCGCCCACGTCAAGGGGCACCGGCGGGTGCACTCGGACGAGCGGCCCTACTCCTGCCCCACCTGCGGCAAGCGCTACAAGACGAAGGTGGGCACCCCTCACAGCAGCCTCCCCGCTCCCCTCCCCAGAGCCAGGCCTCGGGGGAAGTTAGGAGGCTTTGCTCCTGAAAGGACAAGCGCTGCCTCACCTGCCTCTCCAGGGCTGCAGCTCTACAGGGATCCCAGTTTTAGTTTAGCGAGGAAAAGGGGAGTGGTGTTAAAACCCACACGTTGGTGAAGGAACTGTTCCTTCATGTGGAAAAAAATACATAATAACCATGAGACATCTTCATCCTGTCTTCCATGAGGAGAAGTCCTCAAAGGTGCTGACTTTTACCCTAGAAGCTATGGGTCCTGTCACAGGAGGTTTAGGTTGGACCTGAGG